CAGTAATAATTGAAAATATTTCTTTGAGGTTCCTGGCAGTTAGTTTCAACCATACTGTTGGGATTATGAAGTTGTTTTTCACATCAGTTTTTACTTGCTTGATGACATTGGAATGGACACTCGACTCACTTACATTACTGTTATTCCCGTTGTTACTGGGGTCATCATTGCCAGCCAAGATGAACTGATTTTCCATCTATTAAGTTTTATCATGTGCATTTTATCCCCAGTAGCAAGAATTTCATGAACCTCTTTCTGTACATGGATCCTATATCGGATGTGTTTCTACTTTCTACAATTCTCATTATGAAAGAAAGCATGATCAGTATCACATTTTCCTTTGCCCGAGATGATATCAAGATCAGTTAGTGTCTCCATTCAATTCAACACTAGCATATCTTGTGAATTTGACCAACTTTTTGGTCATACCAACATCACACTTGAATCCCCATGGAGTTTTGTTCTCAAATGGTCTTATGACATCATACAAAAGCTTTAAACACTGTGCAAAGAGTTTTCTTGACCAGCAATCTAAGCAGAAGCCGCATGAGATGATGAATGTGTTGTCAAATGTTTTACGAACCAGTGATTATGGTGTTGAACCAATGTTGTTATCCTACGGTTTTTATTTATTGACCCAAGATGAATTTTGTCTTCTTCAACCTCAAGATTAGAAGTGAGATATGATGAAGATTTCTTTCTACAGAAGACAACAAGAAACTAGTGGAGCCAACTAAGGTTGAACGACAGGTTGTTGTTAAGCATCTCGACATGATATGGTCCAAGTTGCCTTGTTCGAGATCCAATTAGATATGGAGACATGAAAGGAATTGGAATAAATCTTCCTTGTGATGTGTTTCAAGAGTCAAATTAGAACAGACTCTACTCTCCTAATTAATCCCTGCTGAGTCAGATGATAGATTCTCTTTTCAAAGATGAAAGCTTTATGGGATTTCTACACAAGTCCAAGCAAAGAAAGTTGGTTTTATCCAAGACAAGATGGGGCATCAAATTCATAGCTCTGACTACAGTAAGAGTTCCACAAATGAAACATTTCTTCTGAGACTTTCATGAAGCAAAGAAGACAGCAAAGATACAAGTTGATCAGATGATTCTGCAGAAATGTAAGCTTGATAGCATAAATTGCTACACTGATATTCAGAGGTAACCCTGGCAATAAATGATGAACTAGAGGAAGACCAAGTTCACCACTTTGAAGTCAAATGAAGATTGCATCAACATTCATGCATTCATAAGAACATCATTTGCACAATAGACAATGAATTACATTGATACATTTGAGTGCATTCAAGCATGAAGTTTGACAGATCTTCGGAAGAACAAGAAGATTCATGGTAAGAAATACCTTACAAGAAGAAGGTATTCAAAACCGTAAATACAGGAATCACGCAAACATCTGAAGAATAGATGGACGTAATCCACAAAAATGAGCATTATCTTGAGATTGGGGCATGTTACCTAATCAACATGTTATTTCAAAAAAAAAACATAATGAGAAAATGATTTACATAGTTTCTCATTTTATCTTTTCTAAAATGAAATTGTTGAAAAGTAAGAAAATGATTTTCTTAGTTTTTACTTAGTAAACTATTTCCAATAGCCTTATCTTGAGATTGGGGCATGTTACCCAATCAACATGTTATTTTAAAAAATAATGAGAAAACGATTTCCATAGTTTCTCATTCAATCTTTTCTAAAAATAAAATTGTTGAAAAATAAGAAAACGATTTTCATAGTTTCTTACTTAGTAAACTATTTCCCACATCTGTAAGTCATGCAGTGCATGATGTTTCCAAAAAAGCCTTTGGGAGCTTTTTGATGTTTTCAAACCTTCGGGTCATCTGTAAGTCCTGCAGTGCATGATGTTTCCAAAAAGCCTTCGGGAGTTTTTTGATGTTTTCAAAACCTTAGGGTCATCTGTAAGTCCTACAGTGCATGATGTTTCCAAAAAGCCTTCGGGAGCTTTTTGATGTTTTCAAAGCCTTAGGGTCATCTGTAAGTCCTACAGTGCATGATGTTTCTAAAAAAGCCTTCGGGAGCTTTTTGATGTTTTCAAAGCCTTAGGGTCATCTGTAAGTCCTACAGTGCATGATGTTTCCAAATAGCCTTCGGGAGCTTTTTGATGTTTTCAAAGCCTTAGGGCCATCTGTAAGTCTTACAGTGCATGATGTTTCCAAAAAGCCTTTGGGAGCTTTTTGATGTTTTCAAAGCCTTAGGGTCATCTGTAAGTCCTACAGTGCATGATGTTTCCAAAAAGCCTTCGGGAGCTTTTTGATGTTTTTAAAGCCTTAGGGTCATCTGTAAGTCCTACAGTGCATGATGTTTCCAAAAAGCCTTCGGGAGCTTTTTGATGTTTTCAAACCTTCGGGTCATCTGTAAGTCCTACAGTGCATGATGTTTCCAAAAAGCCTTCGGGAGCTTTTTGATGTTTTCAAAAACCTTCGGGTCATCTGTAAGCCCTTCAGTGCATGATGTTTTCAACATTTCCATCCTGCTCAAAAGAAGCCAAATGAAAAAATTATTGTCTTTTTCGTCTTTGCTCTATTCTTGTTAACACAAGGATGAGCAAAGAGGGGCAGTTGTAGACATCAATTTTTTCATTTAAATTTATTATTATTATTAAAATTATTATTATTAGTATTATTATTATAAATATTATTATATATTATTTATTAAATATTACAAAGCCCAATTACAAGATCCCGGAGCCCAGATCAGGTCCAACAGTGACCCAACTTGAACCAGGCCAGAGAAGCCCAAATCATTTGGGAGTTTCAGCTAGGGTTTCTAAACCCTAGCTCCCAACCGCCGTTTCCAGAAGCCCCGCGCCGCAGCCGCCTCTCCAGCTGCCAGAAGCTTCCAGATGCCTCAGCCTTTGATGCCAAGTGCTCCAATCGCCGTTGCCGACACTCCACCAGTGCCACAAAGCCACCTCGAAGAAGCCTCCATAAGCTTTGTTGCCACAACACCGACCGTCCATGTCGAGCTCTATGGTGAGTCACCACATAGCTCGGTGACTCACCGAACTCCTTTCCTTTAACCGGTCCGATGAGCGTCTTGATGATGGCTATAAAGCCATCGACCACCTGTGAAAGAAAAGGGACAGCCACGAAAACAGAAGGGAAAACACAGACAGAAACAACAAACATAAACGAGACACCACGAGAAGAACTACACCAACGATCCCAGAAAATACAAACCGAAAGAAGAGAAAAATAGACTTACCGAGGAAATCGCCGTCGTGAGAGCCTCCACGAGTCATCGGAGAACCGAAACGTCGAAGGAAACTATCTCAGATCTACGACGTTTGGTAAGCTTTTAGGTTAAAACAACCTTAGATTGGGCTTTAGGGTAAATAAAACATCGATTTGGGGGTGTTTTGTAATTTTTCGGCCACCGTAGATGGTGGCCGGCGGTGGTACCAGTGGCAAAAGACGGCGACCGGTTGTTGTCTGGTTTCTTCCGGCGAAGGAAACTATGAGAGAGGCGAGAGAGAGTTATAAAACTCTCTCTGCTTGAGAGTTTGGGACTTAAATAGCCCTCCCCAAACGACGCCATTTTGGGGAGGGATTTTTCTGTAATTAACTAAAGGTTAAACCCTTTCCGCAGTCATCCTAACTTGTAATCTTTACATTTTAGTCATTAAATCAATTTATAATCCTTTTAATTCGATTCTTTAATTTTAATTTTATTTATTTTAGTCTTTTCTATTAAATAATATATTTAGGATATATACGTATTTAGTCCTTTAGTTTTAATAAATAATATTTTAATCCCGAGTATATATTTTTAATTTATTTTAATCTGATATTCGAATTTTTTATAATTTTATTTTAGTCACCAAATTAATAAATAAGGAAAATAGCATGTTTAATCCCTATAATTTTAAATAATTAATTATGAATTAGGTATTTAATTTTATTAGATTATAATTTAGTCTCTAAGTTTAATATTTTCATTTATTTTACGAGCTTTATTATTTTTTATTTTTTCATACCATGTTTTAATTGTATTTTAAACATTATTTAATCATATGTTACTTTTATATATTTATGTTCATATATATTTAATTATCATTACTATTACTATTATTCTTTATTAATTATGTCAATATATATAGTCTTATAAATATATATAATATTTATTTATTTATTCTATTTTCCTATTTATAAATTTAATTTTATAAATTACTTTTAAGAAAAATAATCATGTTTTGATATTTATTTATTTTTAATATCAAAGAAAAGAGCTGTCTTAAAGCACCTAGAAGCCTTTTTCTGATATTTATAAATAAGTAAATATCTTATTTATGTATATTAATATATTTTCTTAAAATTATTTGAAATAGTAGAATTATGAATTAAATATATCTTTGAATTTTTAAATTTCTAATAATAGAGACAATTTATAATTAAAAAGTACCAATTTTGGGCGTTGTAGGGGTGCTAATCCTTCTCTAAACGTAACCGACCACGAATCCCTTTTTATTATTAAAAAGAACGAATTTTTGGTTATAAACGCAGATCAGTTCATCTTTTAACTGATGTTTTCTTAAAACTCTTTTAAAAGATAATTTTTAGGTATTCGACCTACCTAACCCAAAAGGCCGATGGCGACTCCCAAATTATTTTAAAAAAACCATTTATTCACATTACTTTTCCTGCCAAATAAATATTTCGTGCCCGAACGAAAACCGGTTACGACAAGTTTCATTTGATCTCGTCTCAAAGACTGCTCTCCATGGCCTTACCGCTGCTTAAAACTGGTAAGCTTTGCAGAAATATAATAGAATGACTTTGTTGGAAACAATAACTTGGTTTTGAATCAGTTTCTTTTGGATGAATAAATTACATGCAACACTTAACATTTAGTATCACTGAAAGTTGTTTCCCTTTGTTCTAGTTCTGATTTAAAAGCAAATGTTTTCTGTTGTCTCTAACTCGAATTCTTCAATGCTAACTGAAAATTAGAATGCCATATGATGGAACTTGGCCTATTCATGAGCATGGCTTCAAATATTTGTAGATTTTAAAGTTACATTTTATGAATTCGGATTCAAATAGTATTTTAATTTACATCGGATCGATTATTCGGGTTGGTTTTCCTAAAATCGATCCGACATGATGCCCCTTTACCAAACCTTTCTAGGGCCCAACAGCCCAATAATTTCATCCCAAAGCCCAACACTTCCAAGGTCAATTACATTAGGACTACAGGCTGCAATTGTCCAATAACCAGCCCTAATCTCTTCATTCAACTGCTCTTTCTCCCACCCACAATACCCATCAAAGAACCTCAACTCCCCTGCCCCTATCACATTTCTCTTCACCATCTCAGCCGCACACCCCACGCTCTCTTTTGTCCCATAATACAGCCCTTCCATCACTTCTTCGAAAACTCCGCTCTTCCCCGTGCCATTATCATCCTTTCTCGGACTCACCAAAAACAACCCCTCTTCCAACGGCCCACCGAAAAACAACTGCCTGTCCGAAAATGTTCCCCCATTGTCCATGATCGGTGATCTCATTTCCTTGATGGACATGAGGGATGGTCGATTCAGGATGATCCCGGATGGGCCTATGGGCCCTGTTGACAAGAGTAGGATCACTGTTCGTTCGAAAATATGGACTCCGTCGAGCTTCTCGGTCGCAATGAGTAGACAGCCCTTTTCGGGCTCATGGATGGTGTGGACCCATTTGTCACTAACTGAAACTGATGGAGGATGATCGACAACTGTATCAGGATCCGTCCATGATGAAGAGTCCTCAGGCTTTGATGCTTTCTCTATAGCAACTAGTTTTGCTCTGAATGAGCGCCAATCAGAATCAAGGGTTGGTTTGTTGTTGTTGTCATCCATCGGTGAAGATGAACCAAGATGGCAGCCTATCATTGGCAAATTATTCCATAATTAGGCAAAACCACTTTTGCAACTAAACATGTTTAATAATTGAGACCCAAACACTTTTAAATATGATTATGAAAATACAGAATCGTGATAAACAATAATGCGGTCAAAACAAGGAGTATAAGAACTTACATGTTATAGAAGATGGGAAAGTAAGTTTCCTAGAGTGGGAGTTTTTCCTAGGGAAGATGAGAGATGTAGGCTTGATTGAGGGCACAATCTCAAGGCTTTTAGTGAAGGAATTTGATGAGAGAAAGCAAGCTTCCATGTTTCTGCAACTTGTTTGCAGAGTTAGATCCTAAAGGATAAGAGAGCACATACTATGCAATTTATGTTGGAAAGAGACTGAATTTGAACCACAAGCTGATTTCATTCCCATCCTAATCAATCCAAGTTGGGGAGGTGCTTTTTTATCAGAGTTATGGGATAGTGGATATGACTTCACACATGGCACAAGTAGGGGACATTTGATCACTAGAACGTGGACCACTCATTTGTGGGTGTTCCCTTCTCTTTTCAGAGGACGTGTGATGTTCTGAGCCAGTTATTCAGACACTTTTTGATGATGTTTGAAGCTGCTTATGTGTTTTGATGGAGATGAAAAGATGAGAGATCGTGAGAGACTAGGAGGGATGTGTTATCTTCTCAGATAGGGATACACTTTCTTGTTCACAATTCATTCCAACAATTATATTATATAAATAAGAATAAAATACACACGAAGTCATTCAACTTTAGATGTTGAATTGTTCATCACTTATTACAAATATTATAAAATTATATCATCAAATAAATCTCAGCTGAATGCTTTTCGGAAAAACATCTCAACCTGATCAAATCTCATGTTAAACAAAAATACAACCTCATCACCATTGACATATAAACAGGAACATGAGTTTCCTGGAGGATCAAATCCATCGATAAAATAGTCTTGAATCCTGTTTTTCTTGAAGCATCCACGTCTCATGTATATCCAACGCATGAATCCCATCAAAATAAGATCAAACAATGCATAACTCAGCTCCAGTAGCAGCAGCAAACAACCCCTGCCATTGTCCTTTCTGTCCTTTGCTTACTCGTTTTCCATACCCTGTTATTTGGTCCGGTTGTTTTACTACACTCTTATTTGCTCCTCCTTCAGCCTTAAAACTGCTGGTCCCCGGCCATTGTTTCCGGAATCCCGCTTTGAGCAAAGAATGGTTTTCATTCTCCGCCACCACCTTTTGTGGTTTTGACAGCAGTAAACTGCTTCTGACTGTGTTGTGACTTCTGTTTCTAGCTTCTGGAACGTCGTGATTATGTTTTCCCGCGTATGATGTTATGACAGCTTTGGGATCGGTCGACGCTCTCTCCACATGCTTCCTGACACTGAATCCAGCACTCGTGCATTTGTAATAGCTCCTGTGGGAATTAGCTTAGATGCATCAGAAATAATCCAAAAGTCGCAGTATAAATATGAACAAATAAATGGATTAAGCAACAAACACACATGTATCTGCAACAAGATAATAGCATTGCTAATTTGCTACTAATCTGCAAGTTTATCAAATCAAATATTAGATCAACAGTATTTAACTAGAGAAACAGCGAGACAAATATGACACCGCTGCTTCTACGGTATGAGATCGTTTTAAAATTTGGATTAGCCCGACTTCGGTGGTTCAAATCCAAAACAATAGTCTAGCAAATTGATGGATGATTTGAACAGATAAGAATACGTTATTTCTCCAATATGCACAAACCAAGCAAAATTAGAAATCTAGGCAGCCCAGTCAAGCAGAAAATTGAATCAATATCTACTAATAGAAGACAATCAATGAAAGTTTTCTTTTATAAAAAAGTGCACTCAAGGTCTTTCTTCTAGTTACCAAGTCTATGTTACTCTGACTTGAACATGGGTGTGGAATACAAGTATGTGCCCAGCACATGCATGCTTAAAAGTTTTTGAAGTTCCCGTCTATGGAGCATTTACCCCATTACTCATGTTCAAATACGTGATAGATAAGAGTGTCAGATACAGGTACTCAAAGAAAAATAAAAAGTTAGGACCAACATAGATTAAGTCTAGACACAAAAAAGACCAGTCACATGATTAGAATCCTACTAGTGTAAGCATAGAATTTGTAAGCATAGAATTGAAATGCTCCAAGAAATTCAGATTATATATTATTCTTGAAGATCAATTCTAGATATATCACAGTCAATTTACTACTGTAAATCTCTCACAATTTGACACAACTTCCTAAACATCATTTGTAATCGACACGTTCGTATCTGAAACATAACTGGACTGTAACATACACACACATATATATATATAGTCCACTGCACCTTGGCCCTTTGACCACTTTCGGTCCATATTTGCACCACCTATAGCCATCATCTAATAGGTCAACTTCACTTCTTGTTTGCAAAATAATTTTCAGTTCTGTGACTGTCTTGTTTGACAACACCACCAAGGCTTCTTCTGCAGTATTCCTGAATTCAAAAGCGCAACACCCTCAAAATTTATGAAGATTTAAGAAATATGAATCTGTATGATCAAATTAGTTGAAACTTACTGTCTTCTCGAATTTGGCTCATTGTCATCTCTTTCTTCTCTACTCTCTTCATCACGTCCTTCCTCACTATCACTCAATCCAAGCAATTCCGCAGCTTGAGTAGATTCACCATTTTCCCCCAGTATTGAATGAGACGGCATAGTTTCACTTAACTTGTTCGAATTTGCATTTCCATCACTACCACCCTTTGCTTGGTTATTTGGCTGAGGCATATCATGATTGTGTGCACCTTTGTATATAATTTGGTTATATGGCCATCAGTAAATCGCTCAATCTTCTTTTTGACGGGGCAATTTGAATAAGTACACTTATAGTAGCTTCGAGGATATTCACATCCTTTAATAGGCTTATGCCCGTACTTACGCCAGTTGTAGCCATCTTCGGCAGGCTTATCCACCACAATGGAGAGTTGGTTTTTCCTATCAGATTGCAAAGCTTCCGAGTATTCCACTAGAGAACTTTGAGGTTCTGAAGCTGAATGAGGCATCAACTGTGAAGCTTCTTCCGGAGTGAAGGATGGATGACGGATCAATGACTCTGGAGGAGCTGATACCGACAATGTTTGATACTCAGTTTGTGGACAAACTTGGGATTTTGCTAGGGAAGCTTGAGCTGTGACCTGTGCCAATGCTTGGTGGTGGGATATTCCGAAAGAACTCTGCAAAAATCATGGAACAAAAGTTCGATCAGCATTATCAGAATAAGAGAACAATACTTCCGACATAAGAATACACGTGAGTGACCAAAAAAAATCCTGGTTACTCTTGTTCCACCAGCAACAAGTTTCAATGTATCAAATCTAAGATTCAAAACTAACTCAAACTTAGAAAAATGGAAAATACCAATCCGATACATACACAAATGCAACACATTCAACCGAGTCCGAGTAAGTTAGGGATCCCTCCCACAGTGAACAAAGACAAAATGATGTTATCATTCAGTTTTTGCTTGGTATGAAGATGAAAACAAGGAAAGATGAAAAATTTGTTTATCAAATGGTTAATATTCATAAGCACTTTCTTACTTTGAATCTTAACCGTTTGCTTAACAAATTTTCGATCCTGCCTCATTTCCATCCTTCCCCTTAGAGGCCAAGAGCTATTAAGTGAGCAATCTGGATAAACTAAACCGAAATCCAAGAGACTATAATCACCCAAATCATTTGCCTTAACAAAAAAGATATTTTTGTTCCTTGAAAAGCAAGAACGAAGTAGACCCGTAATTAAACAGAGATTGTGAGTTAACTCAAATTACCTGAGGAGAAAGACAAAAGAAGCTTGGAGAATTGAGCAAACCAGAAGGGCTTAGCCCAGGAGGCACAGTGAAGAAAGGAGAATCGAAATTCAAAGGTCTATTCTGCTTAAACCCAGTGTTTTTTTTTTCCACCTCCATCTTTAAAACCCACATCCATAAATGAACAATCCATTGAATTGTAAGCTAGTCTAGCTCCAGGAGAAGCCATTGCTGAAGCTAAAAGCTGAGAAAAAGGTCGGTCTGCTGAGTCGAGGTCCGGGAAAAAAGATGAAACCAGTGTCATAGGGCCTGGACTCAGCCCTGAACCACTTGAAAATAAGCCGTCCATGGCTGGTTTCGGCGGTAGAGTTATATATGGACGTGTTGGAGCTGAAAGCTTTGATCTTGTTCCTTTCTCTGCCATTTTCCCCTTTTTTCTCTGTTTGTTTTTCCTCTTGGTTTTAGTTTATACTATGATTAAACAATTGGGACATTGAAGGAAGACATAATAAGGTCATGCTGCCATGTCATGAAGCAATTTTAAGTTTTTTTAGACAGAGATTTAAGTAAGTTCACAATCTAATATTTTATAAATCTATATATGAATTTTTTTGTTATTGAAGAAATATAAATTTTGACATATCTGGGAAAAGCTTATCGATTATGCAAAATGGAGAAAGGCGAGACCAGAATTAATACTCTTTCAAATTTATTAAGTATTTATAATGATAAAAGAGAATATCATTTTTTTTATGAATATCTTTTCGAGCAGTTGAGTATATAAAATATATGTATATTGTTAATTAAATAATAAAATTCTAGACATATATTATTTTATAATCATCTTAGACTATTAAAAAAAAGAATTCACACTCTTTTACATGAATTAAGTGATTTTGGACAATGATATACTATATAACTTTTTAGATGGGACCTAGATATTTTTAATCTTTTTCCTTTTGATTTTTTAAATTTGAGGATGAATCCTTTTGAGGAATGAGGAAATGATACATGCACCAAGACTCATGATCGTGATGAATTGATTCTCACATTAAATCCAATCACAAGACTAAAGTCACGACAATTCTAAGTTCATCTATACAAGACTAAGAAATGATCATTATTTCCTGAAAATCATGAATTTAAACATGACATTGAGAGTGTATTTAAATGTTTATTATTAAATAATTTAAAATTTTATAAACAAATATTATCTTATAATTATATTATGCTAATAAAAAAATCATAATATTTTGTATGAATAAAATGGACGTGATTGCAATCAAATGTGGGCCTCCACTTGGAGGATTGAACACCTACTTTTTTAACAAAACAAGGTTGAGTAGTGTCAACTTGCTATTCTAATTAAATAAGAGAGAGAAACAAATTTATATGTAATACCCTAATTTAGGGTCAGTTTATAGATTTTTGAAATTATAGGCAATTTTAGAAAATTGTAAGAAATTCGAGGACTAAAATGCTTGATTTTGAAATACGAT